ATATATATATATATATATATATATATATTGAACAGTAATGATGTCATAATTGGACACTCAACATTGTGATCGGGACAATCGTGGGCTCTTGAGAGCCTTGGGCTGTTTAGACTTGGACCTGAGCCCTCACTGTCTTTCAGGACTGAACTTAATTAAGAGGGGCGGGCTGGTTCGGGGAAATAAGTCTGCTTAAAGGAACTTGTCTGTTCCTGCCTGACTCAACTAAGCACGTCAGGTCTTGCACTAGCTGTGTTCTTTTTTCAATGTGTGAGCTTTCTGGAGAATTCAGAGGTGAGTTAACAAGGTTGCAAGAGCTCAAAACCCTCAGGTCTCTGCCCAATTCCAACAAATACAACCATGTCTTACTCTAAACACTGTGCAACACTGGGGAGAATGTTGTGGTAGTCCACTTATCAACCCTTCAGTTCGCGTATTGCTCGACAGAGAGTTGGGAAAGTTTGTTATGTACAATCTACACACAGGACCATTCAGGCTGTTTTAAAGTACCCAACTGTAAGCTTTACAGCCCACTGGATGCTCTGAAAGGCTACCAGCACACGGAGGAACAACATATATTTTGGAAAGTAACATTTCCAACATTTGGCCTTCATCACGACAAGCTTGGACGCCTGGAAAGTTTGTGCACACTCACACTGTGGGTAAACGTCCTAGTTTTGCCAGCCTCTTAGCTCCTTATCGTCCATTCTCCACCCTCTCCACCTCGCGTTTCATGTGAATTCCAGCACACCATTTACACCTCCACACTCTGCTCAACACAGGGGGTATTAGCTTTTCAAAACACCTCATATCTACCTGTACAGAAACAGTATTGACGTTATTTTCAGTTTTCACTTTTAACAACAGCAATGCACAATTTACCTCTGCCTCCATCCTTCGGACCTTCAGTTCTTGATACCCATTTAGGATTAGACCATATACAGTATGTGAGAGATGTACTTGTTGCTGTTGCAGCAGGAGCCATTATTTGTTTGTTTGTTTGTTACTTGGCACTTAACCTCATGACCGTGGAGTCGGGTTTCTAAACAGAGAGCTGATGTCGATGTAATTGACCTCTGAGGTGGACTCTGGCCCCGACCCAATCAGGAACGCCACAATTGTTTAACACCTCAGAGGGACACACACACACACACTCGCTCTCTCTGCACTTCTCTGGACAACCAAGTGTCGTATAAGTTGAACTGAAATGTTAAATATCCATGTTTCTACATATATACATGTTGTGTATAAATATGCTTTATGCCCATATTCTGCTTCCCCCCCCCTCCTCTGCTTTTCTGTAAATGCTGCAGCTGCTGCAAAACTATGCATCAATTGCATTTCCAAAGATTGTCCACAGATCTCAGATCTTTTAAAGAAATGTGTTTGTCAAATGTGGGTCCACTGCAAGTTTTTTACTGGCAGGAGAAAATAATACCAAGGGTTTTGTTGTTGTTGTTTTTTAAAGATATTTAGGGGTTATTTAGCTCTGGTTTACTCACATTTGATTGAAATTAACTCAAACTTGTATTTAACCAGGCAAGTTATTAAGAGAAAACTGCTCTTTACAGCGGTGGCCTGGCAAAAAGGCAAAGCCTCTCAAGTAAATGTGGCCACTATAAGTAAGGGCTAAAACAAATTCTGACATGGTAACCCTCGATGACAAAAATCTGCCCAGAAACAGAAGGACATATAAACACCAGCGAAAGTACTCAAACCTAAACTTTGTGATAGGTCACACTACAGCAGGTGTCACCAGGATTTCAAACAAACTCACCAAGTGTAAAAAACCAAATTTAAAAAAAAAGCACCAGCTTTGCTACTGCAGATAATAATAATACTTATGACGGTTAAAAAGATTTAAATAGGATTTTCTTTCTATATCTGCATCTTTGCTACTCTTTCATAAGCACCTTTACACTATCTGAACCTGGGAAACAAAAGAGAAAAAAAAGAAACCCGAGCACTGTGTTTTCATTACATTTTGATAAAAGTCAGATTTTTAATGGGGTCTGAGGAAATGTGTGGAGTCTTGAGAGTGTGCCCTTTGAAAATAATTTGCTTGATAGTAATGGATAAATGAAAATCTGAATTGCACTGAAAATGTAAGTAAATTAAGCGTATGAAATAAAATCCACGCTTAAAATGATAAAACAATTTTTTTTAATCAGCTGGTGTTTCATGTATATTTCATCATATCCAGTCTCGCAGTTGGTTTATGAAAAATGAAACTCGTGGGAAGCAATCGGAGCTTAGTTTAGCTGTCAGCTACTGATGTTGAGTTTATTAGCACATTAATCAATTATAATCAAGTTTGAGGGTCATCAAGACTCCATAGATTTCTGACTCAGAAACAAACAGACCAGTCTGTAAAATGTCCGTATGTCAGTTTTTCATCATTATTTGGTGCTAGTTTTATAATAAATAGCACGCACTGGGAGAGAACTTGTAAATGTCATTCCACCTCTGTGAAACTGATCCCCCAGATGGCCAATGATCTCTTTTATCTTACGATGAAAAAAATCAAAAAGTCAGTTCATACACGCTGGCTCTGAAATGTCAGACGCTATAGAGCTCAAGCACGACTGCAAGGTTTACTTTGGGTGAGGGAGAAGTTTGGGTAAGAGGAATGGGAGGGATGTAGTAGCAGTTTAAGAGCTGCGAGCTCCTTCTAGTGGAAGAGAAAGAGCGCTGCAACATAACTTGAATTTTTGTTGTCGTTGTTGTTGTTGTTTTTGTTGTTAACAAAAAGAAGGCACTTTCTAACCGCATTACTATCATCAATATTCCTTTGGCTCAGACAAAACCTCAGTATCTGTGCTTAGTAAAACTGAGTAAAGTAGCAATAACGTCAAAAAGACCAATTGGCTTTGTGTTTGATTCTTATTCTCTATTTTCATTGAGGTGGCCTGAATATTACAACCTATCCATGTGACAGTATTGACTGCCAGCTTGAGCTTACAGTATTTATATTATTGAAAAAAAAATAGATATATATATCTATATATACATACTTGTTTGTCTGTTAAATCAAAAACGTTCATACAATTTCAAAGGAAACTATTTTTAGAGGCTGATTTTCATCAAGAAAAGCAGATGATAAAACAATCCAATGCTCGTTTTCCAACCGGGTGACCCAAGTGTTAAAACGATTATTCTCCTGTTCTTTTGAGTCCGATGTCTCCTTCTACTGTGATTAGTGACAGCAGCTATCTTAAGCCATAAATCGATCTTGACAAGAAAGAAATGGACACCTGCAAAGAATGATTACCTACATTGAATGCTATATTTTGTTAATATGTATATGTGTATATATTTATAAATATATATATCGACAGCTCTATTCCTTAAGGATTTCCAACATTGAAAGAAGGAGACGAGTGATTCAGACCAAACGGTTTCACGGCAGGTGTTCTTCAAGCGTTTCATGGTGTTTGCCCCCCCCCCGAGGATTTGTTTGCATTTTGACCTTAATAAAAAAAATCCTGATCAACCAGCAGAATTGCAGCAGTTAAACTCAAACCAGCTTCTCAGCAGTTTATGGGACCTTAGTAAACTATGAAAGAGAGGGAAAAATGGTTAAGATTTGAAACCCTCTGAAATGTATGTGTTGCTTAACAATTGTATGTTCAAAAAGAAAAAAAAGTAACCAGGACAAGCTGAACATGTGACACAATCACTGCTTTCTTTGTGGCATAAACAGTAAAATGTTGTAGTTTAAAAAAAACAAAAAAACAACACTTGGTAAAATCTCTATTTTTGTACAAAAGTAATTTTATCCCTTGCTTATGTACTCTGTTCTTTCCCTTCTCACTGTGGGCTGTTATGTACATTGTGGAAAAGCTTATTTGACGGCAAGAGATAATTTTCAGATTGAAAATGTAAGACAGGAGTAATAGTAAGCTTTGGCACTTTGGTAACTGTGTCGCTTTTACTTTGCCATGTTTTAACCTGTCGCTGCAAGATGGGAGTATCTTCTTTCATTATATTTTGTCTATTTTTAAGAAAATGGAATTTTGTCATCTGTTCTTCGTGGGTTGTTCTCTGATGTTCTTCGTTCATGGACAGGAAAAAAAAGGTTATTAAAAAATTTTAAGTGAGCGTTTCCAGTTGATTTGTGTTAGAAGGTGTACAGAAATGAAACTGTCAACGACTCGGGGTGAAACATACAAAAACTGTTTTTATTCAGATGTGAATTACAGCTGTCAGATGCGAACATATTTTACATAGAATCCAGGTTAACTACAGGAAAAGCAGCCTGCTGGCTTCATGTGCAGAACTATCAGCTAGTCAAGCAGAGAACAAAAACACAAAGACAGCTAAAGTAATCAAACTGCGACACGTGGCGTTGTTGTATGTACAAATACTGGAACACAATAACTGCATTTGGTCACTGTTGTGAACGGTCAAGTGTTAGTAAGTACTTCTTTTTTTTTTTTTAAAGGTCATTCAGGGTCATTTTGATTTTTGTAGCAAATCTTGAAGAATTTTAAACATTCTCAATGTTTGCACTTGTGTCAAATTCTGGTTTGTTGCCCTAAAAAAAAAAAAAAAAAAAAGTTTTTTAAAATATCTTGTTAGGGCATAAAGCACTCACTTAAGATCCGAAGTCCTTAAGTATTAAGTAGTTATCCTCAGGTATACCGTCACCTCTTTACTTTAAAGTCACTGATTGTAAATGGTACTACTGAGTTACACAAAGGCAGAAAATAAAATACCACGAAGGACCAAATAACCATTATATTCATTGTACAAGACTAGAATCGTGCTTGTGAAGACTGTTATGAGGCAGTGACATCGAGGTTAATGCAGTGTTTAAAAAAAATAAAATACTGAAGCACCAGAATATTGCTGCAAAGTAAAACGAGGGAGAGGAAAAAAAAAACAATCACAAATTTCCATAATGAGACATCGAAATCTGGCACATGCTTTGATGAGGGGATAACGTCCGCTGCAGAACTGTGTGTGGATGATGTGTCTGGTTTGGTTCTTCTGGCTGAATGTCATGACATTTCATGGAGTTTAATTTCATTCTTCCAATCCAGCAGGAGCTCTCTGTTAGAAAACAAAAGTCCTCCTGTCTTACAATAAAATGTAGGAAAATTATATATATATATAAAAAAACAAAAGGAACACAAGTGGCCCAAAAGATCCAAAATGGCTTAGCAGTCGCTTTTCCATAGCTTGATGGTTTTGTCGTTTTCTAAAGCCGCAGATGCGATGATGTTCTCTGTGGGGTGGCAGGCAGTCGAAATGACAACATCTGAAAAAAGTACACGAAGAAAATTTAAAGAATGACAAATTAAAAGAACAGATTGCACCAGAACACAATATTTAAAACACAGCTGCAAATTTCTGTCTTAAAAATGAGCTGCACCTTCAAATATTTAATTAAATAAATGCAAAGTGATTCTAAAAGACAACTAACTCTGACTTTTAGTCCCCATACAAAAATGCTATTCTATCTGCGTTTTCAGTCACAGTGCATCTGCAGTACCTGTGTGGCCCTGGAGTTTCTGCACAATCTCCTTCGTCTGCAGGTTCCAGATATAAACCATGTTGTCTTCTGAGCCCGACACGATCCACTGCAAAAGAGCAGCGGCACTTAGGCTCAGAGTTATGTTTGCACACATAAGTGATTTCAAAAGGACCATTTTGTAATTTTAAAGTAACACTGAAACTCAAAGCACCAATAAAAACAAAATATAAACATTCATTTTCTCAAAGAAATGATCTTACCTTCCCGCCAGTGACAGAGAAATTTGCAAATATGCAGTACTTCTCATTTTTATGGCCCGTGTATGTCTTCAAGCACTGAAATGTTAGAAAAACAGAAGTTATTTGTATGTGTTATACAATCAAAAATGACAAAACTGTAAAATCTGCAGTTTTATTCATTACTAAACAAACATTTCACATCTTAAAGCAAAATAAAATGCCATCATTACTGAGGCTAGGACACTACTGGGAATGTGCATCTAGGATTTAAAATTTCTGAACTCTTAATACATAAACACTGGCAAATAAAAGCAGTTAGAATAAAAGAACGGAATGATAATCAAGCCTTTCAACAGCTTTCAAAGGCAATTACCTTTCCTTTGCTGTAGTCCCACAGCTTCAGCGTGCTAAAAGAAATACAAAAGGAAGTTTAAAATCGACAGTCAAATAAACAGACAGCAGCTCACTGTGATGTTGTGCTGCCTCCTGCTGGAGAAATCCAAGTACTGCTTGTGAAAAACAGTCCAGCTCCTTAAGAAGTCAATTCAGATTTAGTTATATAGCACCAAATCACAACATTACTCACCTCAAGGCGCTTTACAGTGAGACCCCAACAATCGAGCCCCCCAAAGAGAAAATCCCAACAACTAAACCCCCCCCGATGAGCAAGCGTCATGCGATAGTGTGAAGGAAAGCCACAAAACTGAGCAACGTCTATACTCACTTATCCAGTGTAGCAGCCAGGATGTATTTCCCATTGGGGGAAAACTTTACAAACGACACAGGAGGGTTGTCGTCATCTAAGAAACACAAAAAACAAGAACGCATTGATCACAAAGACACGTTTAAAAAAAAACAAAAAAAAAAAACTGAAAAAACGCAAAGCTTCAACCTGATTGCATTTTTCATGCCTCAATACAAAACTAATTAGATTTGCTGTCACTAATCAATCGTTTAATTAGCACATTCTGCAACAAATCAAATCAAACGAGAAAAATTGGAACACGTGTGTGACTGATCTTACCTATCAGTGTCTTTAAACACTGCCCTGATGCTGTGTCCCAGATTCGACTGTGAATGAAAGATAACACAATTAACTGAGAGACATTTCCGTGTAAAAAAAATAAATAAATAAAAATATCTCACACCAGATGACTAGAAAGTCATCCACATCAGCTACAATTGGATGATAAGGGATTCTTTTTAGCTCGAGCGCAGAGCAAATATGCCAGACATGGAGCATTTCCAGTTCTTATCAAAGGCAAGCTTGTTCTTTTAAAAAGCACCCATGTTCCCCGAACTGTGGCCAGAGAGTCTCAGGAGGATCCAAGTACTCACCAAAGGCCATCGTAGCTACTGGACACGATCAGAGAGCCGTCTCTGTTGAAGTGAACCTGCAAGCCGAGGCAGACCATCATGCCTTTAATACAGTGTTAATATTAAAGCCAGAGCATTTGTCTAATTAATTATAAAAAATAAACTTACAGCAGAGACTGGATCAGAATGAGCTGGCAGCGTTTTCAGACATTTCCCAGTCTTCACGTCCCATATCCTTACACTCTCATCGAACTAGAAACGGAAGAGAAAAAAATAATCATTTTTTGGAAAACCACTCAGAAACTGCTTCTAATGCTCAAAGTGAGAGCTTTCGCAAAGGTCTAACATCTGCTTTCCATTTAGGTAGGACTTGTTTCTTGCCAAGAGCTTGGTACTCACCGATCCTGACACAATAAGATTGGACTGGGGGTTGAAGTTGCAGCAGAAGACGTAGTTGCTGTGACCTTTCAGAGTTTTTAAGCACTTCCCCTGGATTAGAGAGAAAATTGGTCGAAATGTCACATTTCTCACCCACACCGAAAAACCCAGGACCATCTTCAACTAAACCACACTACAAGTGCAGCTTTAAATGTAATACAATTTTAACATCAGCAGAAACCACTGATATGAACCTAAGAGTCTACATGGATTTCATTTTCATACTTCATAAAAGTATAATGATAAGAGACACAGCAGCGATGTAGACCGAGCCTTACCAAATCACTATCTCCCCTTTTTTACAGCAGTACACCGCATTTCCAACACACTGAGATTCGATTACAAGTAGTACTCCCAAACAAAGCCTTCTCGTTTACATATTTTTCTGACTCTATTATCAGAAAATAGGCCCATATAAAATAACCCATTAATACATTTTAATCAGCAACTTCCAAGCCATTTCTAATCTGCCGCTCTGCTAAGATCCGAATTTGATAAACGCAACATCATCTGACAAAATCAACACATGACTTCAGCTAAATTTACAAAGAAATTCAGAAGCAAATCTAACTAAGTAAGCATGTCATAATGTCTCTGAACTTCTCTGAAAAGAGCATGTGATATCTTCTCCCAGTAACAGAATGAGAATGTGCAGGTAGAGTAAATAAAGGGGAGATTGCCCACAAGTTAACCAATCACAGATTGCATTGTTCTCTCAGACAGGAATAGTAAGTCCAGCCAAATGATCATGAGATGATCTTTTTCAGTATAAGGGCCTGAATAACAAGCCTCCCCATAGATTTAGTTGAACTCATGCATTCAAGCAGTCAACAAATATTCTCAACATTGATTGTGAAAAAGAAATCAGTATTTTTAGCAGTACCAGCAATACTGCATAATATCTGTGTCATAGTCAGAACAGGCTGTCAGCCTGGGGTGCAGCTCTCACAGATTCAGGCTTAAGACCAAGCTGGCGATGTGGGGAGAGAGCAGTGGATGACTCAGCCTACTGCACAGGACTGGACAAAGATCAGCTGAGTATTTTAAAGTACAATGTGTTTACAATATTCATCTTACAGTATTATACAAAAGTCTTGAGCCAGCCCTTGTTTCTTTATACTGTGCTAAGAAAATGGGAAATGGGGAGCAGTAAACTGTGCAATCATAAATAGAAATACAATACATAAAGTAAAAACAATTCTGATGAGCATGAAAGCCAATTCAGCACATCCTGCACTCTCTTAGGAAAACGTTCTTGTAATTTCTTTAAGTAGTCTTCAAGACTATTTCTGCAGGCTTCCTGGAGGACATTCTAGGCTCCTCTTTGGATGTTGGCTGCCCTTTGTTCTGTTCTGTCAAAATGATCCTGCACTGCTTCAATAATGTCCGAGCTCTGGGGAGGGCATTTTATGATGAGGCTTCAGCAAACAGTAGATCAACTGAAGGGCCAGGTGCATTTCTCAGAGTCTGTTTCAGATATTTTCATATTTAATCTGTCATAGATAGTTTTAAGGCCTGCCACTTCTTTTGCCCTTTACTTGTCCTGTTTCCTTTTTTGTAAAGGACACGCTGTACACCATGCTGAGATATGCCAAGTCTTCAGCTAATAGTTCTAGGGGAAATCACCTGGTTGGTACAAAAATATTATTTCATCCCATCAAACTTATATTTGGCATTTCTCAACAAAAGAAATAGGCACATATTAGCAGCTTTCATGGCAGGCTCTTAGTAAAAAGTAAATAAATAGAGATAAAATTTAAAATTGGTTCTTTTCCAAAGTTGTCTGTTAAATATAAGAAAAAAAGTTCATCCTTTGAGTTACGTGGCTTTACAAAAGCAAAAAACATTCTTCCTAAAATGGTCAGGAACTAGGCCTGGACTGAAAATGAGTGAGAAAGCATCCTATGAAGGTCATTCAAAGAAAATTTTGAATGACCTTCAGAAAGCCTAAAAACACAAGACCTTTTTAAAAAGTACATGAACATCTCACTCCAAATATGGGATGGCTCAAGAGTTTTGCATAGGACTGTATATTTTTCCTTACTAATGTTTTTTAGATGTTCCAACTCTTTTGTGCTGTGCACGTTTCATTTATGTAAAAAAGTGACAATCAATTACCTACATGAGCTAACCTAATAGTTGTAGTTAGTGCCTCTACACTTTTGTTGCCACGCTGATACCTGCCAATCACTCCTCCAAGATCATACTCATAATTGTGCCACAGCTAATCATGGTTTTTCTTATTTATCTTTATGATTCTTCTAGAAAGAAGATCCCATGCCAGATAACATCACTAGACTCCCTACTGCTGGATAGCTAAAATAAAAATAACCAAAACTGTTGGTCAAATATTCTATGATGGTAATATACCTGTGCAGCTTGCTAAAATGTATGCGCAGCAAACAGAGTTTAGTATTACATCACACATTTCAGCAGAATCATTTAAATAATCTCCCATCTTACCGAGCTGACGTCCCAAATCTTCAGGGTTTTGTCGTCTGATGCAGATACCAGGAGGTTGGAGTCAGAGGACCAGGCCACATCAGATATACCCTGCAGATTCATGGGAACTGATCAGGACTTGAAGCTCTGAGAACAGCTAGCATGGGGCCAATGTAAGAACTAATGGAACCGTGGCTTGGCTCTTAGTAACAACTCCAAACATCTGATCCCAATTGACTAAACATCAAGGATGCTACAGTTGCTCTACATTAGTCCAGCCAATAAAAAACAAAACCATTAACACAGCAGGAGTATAGCTAAGAATTAGTCAAACTCACAAGTTTGTGTCCAGATATGGTTTTCTCAAACTTGCCGTCATACGCGCCCCAGATTTTGATCAGTTTATCAGCAGCTGTAAAGACAGAATGAATACGCACTCAGCATAGGTTAAAAAAAACAACACATCATCAATCTTAAAACTCAACAAGAAGCTGCAATAATTTATTGATAATTATTAAGTCGTGAAAAAAAAAAAAAAAAAAGGTAGTTCCAGCAGTGATTTTTTACTCACATGAGCTGGCGAGCCATTCTCCACTTGGACTGAATTTGACAGAGGACACAGCTTTGGTGTGGCCCGCTAATGTGAACTTCAGGCTGTAATTTGGCTTTGCAGGTGCCGACTGTGAGTGAAAAGGAAATACAACATTTAACAACTCTTGGCTGAGATTTGACAAATATACTAACATTCATCTAAGTCTATATTAAACAAAATCCATTCTCTTATAAATCCTAACTATGGCTATTTCCTGGCCCTAAAGGCTACAGCTGGAACAGAATAGCGATAGTCCCAAAAATTCAAACCTTGCTTTGGCTGGCAGATGCTGACGGCGCTACTGGAGGTTTTGTGTCAGTTTCTGGTTTCTTGTCTTCAGTTGCCATGGTGAAGAAATTAGCATCTACTGTGTACTATCCTAAAGCAGAGGAAAAAATAAATACCATAAAAGATTCTTTATGCTTCTGGTGCTGATCAGTATACCAGTTATAAATACCAATGAACAGATATAACAACGAGCCTCAGTAACTTTTCAAGAGGTTTGCATGAACAATATCACTGACAGCCTGGATAGTATGATTACATTTTTCAAACCGTCTCTTTCACGCTCAGACACTTGGTGACTGACAAACAACTGGTTTAAAATAAGTTTGACAAATTAAACTTGCCTTTCAAAACAAAAACTCAAAAATACTAAAGCCGCTTTTTGAAGTGATAACAACATGATTGTATTTATAAACTTCACTACTGCATCATTAACTTGATTAACTACTACTGTGTAAATGCCTGTGAATGTTTATGCCTAAAATAAAATAAGACATACTATCCAATTCCTTTGCTATTAAAATGACCATTCAACATATGTTTCTAGCTGTTTTTTCATTGAACTTTTTTCAAACCAACTGTTTTATGCACCCAATAAATCTTACATGTTTGAAAAAACTATTTAGTTTCTGATAGGTTTTCAAGCAGCAGATACACTGGCACACTCGGAATTTCTTCAGAGATTTTCTAGTTTGTGTTTATTTATTTACATGATGACTATGCAATTTTTTTCTAGTCTCTAAAATCCTGATATTAAAGTTAGTCAATGTAGACTATATATATATATATATATATATATTAATGATCATAACTCCCTGCACTGACTGCAACATTCCCTCACAGTCAAGTTAAAACGAATTTTAGACTGAATACAGTCGATATTTAGTCTGATAGTGGTATTAAAATGCAATGAAAGGGCAAACCTCTTTCTCCATCTCACATGACAACAATGGTATATATTGCATAATGACAAAAATGCACAAAGTATATACGAAACCACCTTGCCGTTTAGCTCACGATGTTTCCTTTTAGTTTTATGCTCCTCATGTGAGCTGCAGTTTTTGCTAAACGCCGCATTTACCCCAGTTGGTACAGGCTACAGCTATTTTCTCTTGTTCGTGTTGCTGCTTTCTCATTTAGCTCCAACTTTAGCCATTTAAGCTAGCTTTAGCTAGCTAGCATTGCATTACTTCGCTGTGGCTACTTAAAACCACCAAACAGAAACGCAAATGCATTCAGCTAAGACTAGATGGCATCTGTTTGCAATATATGAACATGAATTCGCGTTTAAATAGAACAAACGTGCGAGAAAGGAGAATATCAAACAAAGGGCGATACGGACTCCCTTGGTTGGAAAATTCAACTCTTGACTAAGATCGTATTTGAACGACAGCTAGCCACGCTGTTATATCACTATTCAGATGTTTAACCCTCAACGATAACGCCACTTTAAAACTGGTGGTTTTATATAGACGCTAAAGGTTATTTGATGATACAGCCGCCGCTACTCGAAATGCACTGGTGCTGTTGACAAACTGGCTGAGGTACCATTGAGGGGCCCTCCATTCACACAATGAGGATTCAGTCATAAAGACGGTACTCACAGATTAATGGAGCTTCACGGTCAGATTGTTACTCCTCGTAAACACTGTAAAGGATAAAAAAAAAAACACCATGTATGTGTATTCAGACGATCATGGAGAACGTATACAGCAAGTGACTTGCTCTTGGATGATTGCCTGTAGGGAAAGAGAAGCGGGGAATGTGGTGTGCTGTGGCTTTGCGCATGCGTGTTACGCTCTTCTTCTTCTTTGGTTTTCACGGCGGGACGCAAACCAACGTGTTTACGCGCATACTGCCACAATCCATTAAACAGAGAGTTTTGCATGTCATTCATTATTATATCTTCCATTTTTATAAAACATTTTAAAAACAACTGTTGATAAAGACGTTTAGAGAAGGTCAGGATGAGTTCCATTGTTTCTAGAGAATATATGGTAAATGGCCTGTATTTATATAGCGCATATGGGGCATATGATTGGGTACAAGAGATGAAATGCGGCAAAGAAATATCTTAAGGCAAGGCAAGGCAAGGCAAGGCAAGTTCATTTGTATAGCACAATTCAACAACAAGGTGATTCAAAGTGCTTTACAGAGACATTAGAAACAAAAACAAATAAAAAGCATGATTTAAAATTGATTAAAACAAGCAAACAAACAAACAAATTAATAAACAAAAAAAACAGACAAACAAACAAAACAGTATATAAAATCAAAACAGATAAAATCAGTAGTTAAATGTAAGTTTTGAAATTTAAGCTTAAAAGTGTGGATTTGGTGCTTTATTCAAATGCAGCTGAGAACAGGTGAGTCTTCAACCTGAATTTATTAAATAAACTGAGTGTTTCAGCTGATCTGAGGCTTTCTGGGAGTTTGTTCCAGATATAAGGAGCATAAAAGCTGAATGCAGCTTCTCCATGTCTGGTTCTGACTCTGGGAACTGATAAAAGACCGGATCCAGATGACCTGAGGGATCTGGAAGGTTCATACTGGGTCAGGAGGTCGCTGATGTATTTTGGTCCTAAACCATTCAGAGCTTTATAGACCAGCATCAGAACTTTATCTTTATCTTAAGGTGGTGCAGAACATCTAGGACAGGGGTGTCAAACTCAAATACACAGTGGGCCAAAATTCAAAACTAGAACAAGGTCGCGGGCTAACATTAATATTTATTGAAAAATATCTTCCTCCAGATTTAAGAATGAATCTCTTCTTATGGACTCAAACAAGTTTTGCTGAAAAACTGAATGTGGAACAAGCAAAGCTTAATACTAAACAATGTATATATTAGCTGTATAATACCAGTAGGCCAGCTCTAATAGTAATTTGGTATGGCTTCGCGGGCCAAATGTAATTAGGCTGCGGGCCAGAGTTTGACACCTATGATCTAGGAGGACAACAAGACAGTGGTGTGGTGTGCAATAGGAGTGACAGATGGGTTTGAAGGAGGGTTGGGATTATATCAGGGATTGGCTCCAAACCACTTCTTATTTGCAGTGGTAATGGACAGGTTGACTGATAAGGTCAGTGGACTATGATGTAGGGAGCAGGTGGAAAAGAGTCCGGAAAGGTGTAGGTATGAGCATTTAAGTCCGTTTGAAGCAAGACATATTAAATATGTGTGAATGAGAAGGAAACACATGTAACATTGAAAAGCCAAAGAATAAAGGTAGTGAATGTGGATGAGTTTAAATGGGAGTTTAAATCAGTGCACAAGAGAGGTGAAGAGGAGTGTGCAGGCAATGGTGGAGATGAACATGAGAAGGATAGCAGCACAAGTCAAAGGGAAGGTTTAGAAGATCATAAAGAGACCTGCTATGATGTATGGTTTGTAGATGGTGGCACTCATAGGAAGACAGGAGGTTGAGCTGGATATGGCAGATGTGAAGATGCTGAGATTTTCATTCTGAATTACCAGAATGAACAAGATTAGAAATGAGTACCTGAGAGCAAGGTTGATCAGTTTGAAGACAGCTGAACAGTGTGTAGAGAAGGGGTAGTGGATATACTGGACAAAGGATGTTGGAGATGGAGTTGTCAAGCTGGAGAAAAAGAGGAAGACCTCAGAAGAGGTTCATGGATGTAGTGAAGAGGTTCATGCGGGATTGGTGTGGCAGAGGAGGAAGCTAGACGCAGGGTGAGGTGGAGACTGATGATCCACTGTGGCGACACCTAAAGAGAGCAGCCGGAAGAAGAAGAAAAATCAACGCTCTCCTCTCGGGACCGTTACACTTTCGGTCATTTTGGTTTTATTCTCGATACCCTCCGACACAGCAGGCGGCGGTATACGCTGTTAACTTTGGCTAAAAAAAAATTGGTCACCGAAGCTTTCGACGAAGGGGAGCTTGTTACTTGAAGCCATGCCCGCAGCAGGTTTGTGTGGACGTTTTCAGCTGGTCTAAGTGCAGCCAGGAGTTACCGTATCGCGACTTTTTTCCCCTCTGTTTGGCCTTCGGTGCGGCGCGAACGGTCTTAAATAGAAACTAGCATTTTAAAGTGCCTTCATAAGAAGAAAAAACGAGTTGGTAAACACTCGTGACTCTCCCGTCATCCTCTGCGAAACAAGTTATGTGGTACATGTATGTGTTGCCGTTATCTGAAGGTAATTGCGAGCGTTCAGGTAACAGCGACTGGCTTCCCTATGAAAACTTTGTAAGTGGTAAGTTAACCGCGGCAGAGCGAGGCCCAATTGTAATACACAAACCCCAGTAGGCACTGCACAAGATACTGTGGTGTTTTTTTTTTATTGCCCATTTGCAGTGACGACTTAAATCTGTCTCTCAATGCGCCCATATAGGTTTACCTTAACCTGCTAGCCAAATGAAGCTAACGTGCTGAACGTGACTGGTTAGTGTTCCCAAGAGCTGACCTCCTGATTATTTAACTCTGTCGTGCTCATTTAAAACTTGACAATCCGATTCTTCCTTCTTACTCCGTTAAGTTAGCATTATATTAGTTGACTTGTATTTAATGGTATGATATTACATGAGCTAGGTTGAGATTTATACCGCGTCTGAGATCATGCAGACTCTCACTGCCTTCTCCAGTGGCGATGTTTAGTAAAATGAGCAAATGAAATAAAATTAGATTTGAAGAAACATTTGATCTGGAATAAAGGAAAATAGATTTAAATGTTAAAATAGATAAACAGTAATATCACCTCACTAAAACTTAAAGTTAAATACATGAAATGCATTTAGTCTTCCCCAGTTTGGTTTTATTTATTGAGAAAAGGATGTGTTCACAATAATGTGTTTGTCTTGAAATATAATGTGTTAACTTAGACCAACAAAATATAATAATATTTGAAGAATAAAGTTTTGGAAGCTATTTAAAAACTAAACTGAAATGAACAAAGCCTCCCTCGAAATTAATTGAAATGCATTAGAACTGCAAATAAAACTGAAATAAGAAAAAATCGAAATCACCTGCTCCTTTCTGCTGCTCCCTTTAAGGGTCGCCACAATGGGTCATCTCCCTTCATTTCACCCTATCTGTAGCACCCTCCTCTGTCACACTAACACTCTCCATGTTCTCTTTCACTACATCTAAGAATCTCTTCTCTTGTCTTTCTCTTTTCTTCATACCTAGCAGCTCCATCTTTATCATCCTTTGTAGCAACCTCAGTCTAAGATGACCCTTTCATGTACTCATTTTTAATCTTGCCCATTCTAGTCAGACCTAATAAAAATCTTTAACAGCTCCAGCTCGCCCTCCCGCCTTTTTGTTAGTGCTCCAAACCATACTTCATAGCCCATCTCGCTCCCATCCTCTAAACCTTCGCTTTCACTTTTGCTGCTGTCCTCCTGTCACAAATCACCCGTGACACTCATCTCCACTCACTTCGCCCTGTCTTCACTTGCTTCTTCACCTCTCACCTCTTGATTCCTCTTCCATCCAATGCATACCTCCATCTCTCCACCTTCTCTAAATATTAAAATTGGAATAATTGCAGGCAGATTCCTAGACAGCTAAATAAACATAGCTGATTCCAACACCATCAGTGAAACAGCCTCTTAAATTTTGTCAGTGTATTTGCCAAAAAAACATTTCTCAGTTCGCATGCCCACAAAACCTTTACACACCCTCCGTGTCTTCTGCTCATCTGAAGCCGGGTTGCAGTATTCAGACATCCTTCTCCCCAGCCACTCTTTCCAGTTCCCCATGGCTGGTCCCAAGGCATTCCCAGGTCGGATGAGATATATAATCTCTCCAGCAGGTTCTGGTTCTACCCCAGGGTCTCCTCCCAGTTAGGTATGCCCAGGAGGCATTCTAACTGGATGCCTGAAATACCTCAATTGCCTCCTTTCAGCATGCAAGGAAAGAGCCTTTATACAGTCACGTGCAGATTGTTTTACATAATAATACAGTAAAATGAATGTGATAAGCTTCAAAAGGTATGAAATATAGTCTGTTTTTGAAACTATATCAATGGTGTGAAGTAATCAGTCGCTTCCTCTTTTTATAGTGTTATATTTAATATTTGGAGAACCACATGATCATAACAGTCTATTCTTTTATGTCAGCAGGCCACATTGTGTGGTTTGACGACTCCCCAGCCTGCTTCATGCATAGTTTTCAGAGTGTGTGACAAGCTGTCAGGTGAACACTACATGACTTACAGAAGATAACAGAACCCAGAAGAATTTGTGCAGCCGTCATGTCCACAGACACCAACCAGGACCCCCCTCAGCTTGTTAATCCCCCACCTCCCGAGGTGACCAATCCCAGCAAGCAAGGCCGGAGGACCAACCAGCTGCAGTATATGCAGAACATAGTGATCAAATCCCTGTGGCGGCACCAGTTTGCCTGGCCTTTTTACCAGCCTGTCGATGCAGTTGCTCTTGGACTGCCAGTGAGTAGTTTGCACATGTTCAGCTGACAGGGTTACAGTGCATCAAGTCATTTTTATGGGTTTTTCACAAATCATGGTACAAAAATGACTTCAGCCTCAGGATTGCAGGGCTTTTCTTCAGTTAGTTGCACAAGTAAGTCATAGTTTTGCTCATAATGAAAATATTTTTTTAATTCCACAATTCCACAAAAGTGATGTTAAGTGGGCATTATATTGTATTATATGATCTATTTAGCCATTCTTGTTAAATATAAATTTACTGGTAGCTGCCAGCAGTTTTATACATACATATATATATATATATATATATATATATATATATATACATACATATATACATACATATATACATATTTATTTTAGTTTTCAGATACGCTAACTTGCT